TGTCTCTCTCCCCGTGTCTCTATCCCTAGTGTGTCCTACTATTGTGTGCGGGTATGGTGTGTGCATTACGTATATGTACTGTATGCATGGTGTGTGTGTTGTGTGTGTATTATGTATGTTATGTATTACGCGTGTTATTTACGTTTGTAGCGTGTGTATTGTGTATGTTTGTGTGCATTGTGTATATTGTGTGATGTGTGTATTATGTATATTGTGTATGTTTGTGGTGTATGTATTATGTATGTGTGTGTTGACTATATTGTGTATGTGTGTGCTGTGTATTATGTATAATATGCATGTTTTGTGGTGTGTGCATTCTGTATGTGTATATTGTGTGTATTATGTATTCGCGTGTTGTGTATTATGTATATATTATGTATGTTTGTGGTGGTGTGTAATATGTGTGTGTATTGTGCATATTTTGTTGTGTGTATTATGTATAGTATGCATGTTTGTGGTGTGTGTATTATGTATGTGTGTATTGTATATATTGTGTTGTGTGTTGTGTATTATGTATACTATGCATGTTTGTGGTGTGTGTATTATGTATGTGTGTGTATTGTGTATGTTGTGTTGTGTATTATGTATATTATGCATGTGTGTGGTGTATGTACTATGGTTGTGTGTGTATTGTGTATATTGTGTTGTGTTGTGCATTATGTATATTATGCATGTTTGTGGTGTGTGTATTATGTATGTGTGTGTTGTGTATATTGTGTTGTGTGGTGTGTATTATGTATAGTATGCATGTTTGTGGTGTGTGTATTATGTATGTGTGTGTATTGTGTATGTTGTGTTGTGTGTTATGTATACTATGCATGTTTGTGGTGTGTGTGTATTATGTATGTGTGTATTGTGTATATTGTGTTGTGTGTTGTGTATTATGTATATTATGTATGTTTGTGGTGTGTGTATTATGTATGTGTATTGTGTATGTTGTGTTGTGTGTGTTATGTATACTATGCATGTTTGTGGTGTGTGTATTATGTATGTGTGTATTGTGTATATTGTGTTGTGTGTTGTGTATTATGTATATTATGTATGTTTGTGGTGTGTGTATTATGTATGTCTTAATACAGCTAATTCCATTATCATCACAGAGGTCGCATTGAAATACAATAATTATAATTATTGACTATAATCATCATCATAGAAACCGGCCCATGGGTTTTACTTGTCAACTGAATCAATGGTTCGAGCGAGCCTCACTCTGCTGATGAGACACTGCATGTTGAAACCGGTCGAGAGTTTTGTCTTCGTAAGCTGAATCAATAGTTCGAGCGAGCCTCACACTGCTGATGAGACACTGCATGTTGAAACCGGTCGAGAGTTATTTTTTTTCCTTCGTGCTGAATCAATGGTTCGAGCGATGCTTGGTTGTAATTACTGGCGAAACGTCGTACTCAGATTGTAAATGTTAGTTTACTACTTGAGCCCACCGGTGTGTTGGAGAGTAAATCCACAACATTTAGAATTTGAATAGTATGCAGTTTTGCTCTATTTAAGACCTGAAGCAGGTGGATTGCTTCACTGTTCTGGCAAATCGCCCGATGATGCTGATTGATGTAATCACCAGCGAAACGTCGTACTACTCAGATTGTGAGTGAGGTGGATTTACTCTCCAACACAACGGCGTTTTGTTTACGCGACAAATCCCTTACTAATTGGCTGTGTCGGGTGGTGGAGGTGTTACGACACATTTATACTTGGGCGATCTATCCCAAACAACCTTAATTATGAATACATCGAAATTGTTCGTCTTTACGAGAGAGGGATCGAAACGTAGAATTCCCCGCTGTTCATGACAACATTGAGGATTCAGTGCGCATCCCCTGTTACAGTCCTGCAGAGGCGGTGGTGGAAATTCCACATTCACACGGCGAGGGCCTGCGTCTCCCACACAACAACCGTTGTTGACTTCCGCGCAAAGTAGTGCCAATTTTATCGACCCCTAAGGGATAATTGGCTTAATCACACCCCCACCCCCCCCAACCCCGTTAGAGGAATCGTAAAGGAATCAGAATCAATTGTGTCACCATCCATTTGATATGATATTCATGATTGATAATACATCAATAATCACAGCCATCGATGAGTATTCACGTTCACCACGATCATCACTGAGTAATTATTATTGTTAAATATATTGTTACATGATACAGTAACCACAATTACATCGGCATAGTCATTTGGTGATCACAATGACATCGACCACGACGAGAGATCGCAATTGCGCAATCGCTCGTGGTCGTTAACGAGACAGAGATGATCAATGTCACAATCGGAATCTTTTACTGAGACAGGAGGAGGAATCCGATGAGCTATGAAGCTCTTTTACACTGGTCTCCAATGTCACGTGACCCCCCCACCGCCCTCCCCGTAACTGGCCGTGATTGGGAGTGGACGTGACACAGACTCCCTCTCTCCCCCCCCCCTCCAACACCCCTACCAATCTCCCCTTTGTCGACACATTCTCCTCTCAACACACTCTCCCCTCTCTCTCTCCACACCCACACTCTCCCCTCTCTCTCTCCCCACACTCTCCCCTCACTCTCCCCTCTCTCTCCCCCCACACTCACTCTCCCCTCTCTCTCCCCCCACACTCACTCTCCCCTCTCTCTCCCCACACACACTCTCCCCACACTCTCCCCTCTCTCTCCCCTCTCTCTCCCCACACTCACTCTCCCCTCTCTCTCCCCACACTCTCCCCTCTCTCTCCCCTCTCTCTCCCCACACTCACTCTCCCCTCTCTCTCCCCACACTCTCCCCTCTCTCTCCCCTCTCTCTCCCCCCACTCTCCCCTCACTCTCCCCTCTCTCCCCACACTCTCCCTTCTCTCTCCCTCTCTCTCCCCTCTCTCTCCCGCTCTCCCCACACTCTCCCCTCTCTCTCCCCACACTCTCCCCTCTCTCTCCCCTCTCTCCCCTCTCTCCCCTTTCTCTCCCCACACTCTCCCCTCTCTCTCCCCACACTCTCCCCTCTCTCTCCCCACACTCTCCCCTCTCTCTCCCCACACTCTCCCCTCTCTCCCCTCTCTCTCCCCATACTCTCCCCTCTATCTCCCCCCACTCTCCCCTCACTCTCCCCTCTCTCCCCACACTCTCCCTTCTCTCTCCCTCTCTCTCCCCTCTCTCTCCCGCTCTCCCCACACTCTCCCCTCTCTCTCCCCACACTCTCCCCTCTCTCTCCCCTCTCTCCCCTCTCTCCCCTTTCTCTCCCCACACTCTCCCCTCTCTCTCCCCACACTCTCCCCTCTCTCTCCCCACACTCTCCCCTCTCTCTCCCCACACTCTCCCCTCTCTCCCCTCTCTCTCCCCATACTCTCCCCTCTATCTCCGCACACTCTCCCCTCTCTCTCCGCACACTGTGTCCCCCCCACCCGCCCTGCCCCTCTCTCGTCTGCGGCTGTGACAGCAGCAGCAGCCTCGGTGGCGGTGGCGGTAGCGTCTCGTGGAAGCGGCATTACTTTCGGTAATCTAGCTTTATGAAGCCGAGAACACTCATACAGCTAGATAACCAAAGAGAACGCCGCCACCGGCCCGCGCGGCGTGGCAGGGGGCTCGTGCCGGTGGGGGTGTGGACGGCAACCGTGACCCTTGCCCGCGACTCGCACAGAGACCCACCCATAGACTCGCATAGACACCCACCCATAGACTCGCATAGACACCCACCCATAGACTCACACAGACACCCACCCATAGACTCGCATAGAGACCCACCCATAGACTCGCACAGAGACCCACCCATAGACTCGCATAGAGACCCACCCATAGACTCGCATAGAGACCCACCCATAGACTCGCACAGAGACCCACCCATAGACTCGCACAGACACCCACCCATAGACTCGCACAGAGACCCACCCATAGACTCGCATAGAGACCCACCCATAGACTCGCAAGGACACCCACCCATAGACTCGCACAGACACCCACCCATAGACTCGCACAGACACCCACCCATAGACTCGCACAGACACCCACCCATAGACTCGCACAGACACCCACCCATAGACTCGCACAGACACCCACCCATAGACTCGCACAGACACCCACCCATAGACTCGCACAGACACCCACCCATAGACTCGCACACACACCCAAAGTTTGTTGACCTTCCCCGCACCTCCGATTAGCACGGTTGGCGACGTACTATGCGAAAGAAGTTCAACATCCATCCTTACCCCCCCCACCTCCGTGTAGTACTAATAGTTCAATATGAATGTGCTATTTTATTGAGGGACCATGTGTTGTTGTCCATCGGTGTGGTTCTGGGACTGCTGCTGTTGTTGTTGTTGTTTTGCTGCCTTGCTCCAAGCTTGTGTGTGGTGTTGACACATCGGCATAAATTGATGTACTTGTGCGATTTGTACATTTGCCCTTCATTTATATTTATTTATTTATTCAATTGCTAGTGGCTTGCTGTTCTCTATTTTGGCCTGCTGTCGTGATTTGTATTGTTGCTAGAACTTGCTGAACCACCCGGACTGGATATCCGTCAAATAAAAAAAAAACAAGAGCTTCATAGCTCATCGGATTCTTCCTCCAGTCTAAATAAAGATTCTGATTCTCGTGGGAGGCTGCCGGTGCTGTGAAGCATGGGGACATTGAGAAGGGAGAGAGTGTGTGGACGAATCCCCCTCTGTCCCTTCTGTACGGGGATAGAGCGTTGCCCCCCCCTCCCCCGCCCCCCCCACCTCGTGCAATTTTCTCCGGATGCTCCGGTCTCTTCCAGCACGTAAACCCACTCATCGTCCGTTGGCCGATGACACCCTCGTACACAGAGGATCGCAGAGCTTGGGCAATTGTTGGTGGCTCCGGCTCCTCGCCGCGTGGCTGCTGCTGCCGCTGCCGCTTGCCTGTTTTATCGTCTGCGGTTCTTGCTGAAGCCTCCGAGCCGAACCCTCGCTCGACGAGAGCCATGAGCGGATGGCGTGCGGCTGATGGTGGCGCAGCGTTACGAGTTGACATCATTATCATCATCATAAAAAACATACACACCTTCTCACCTTGAGACTCCGGAAGTGTCCCGTGCTTTCTTGAACCTGCCCCGTCTCTCGCTCGCTCTCTCGCTCGCTCGCTCTCCCTCCCTCCTCTCTCTGTTATCTCCATGCTCAGCCTTGCCCTGGCCTAGGTGAGAAGGCTCCGGAGTCTGGTAACAAAGCAACAGCAGTGGCAGCGGCAGCAGAATGATAACGTTAACGATGCATGCAGATTACATGCAACTTAGATTCTGATTGCTAGTAGGGGTTGTAACTGTGCGTGGATTCGTAACGGAGTACACATTTATTAATAATCTATTTAACAATAATAATAAATCACCTGAAAAGGATGACCGTAGCCAGGCGAAGGCACCAATTCAAGTTAAAAGTGGATGTTTGATGCTCGTTGAGCCAGAGAGTGAAGCACCCTCAATATTCTCAGGGTTACATTTTCATACCTCAACGAGGCAGTTTCAAGAAATGCGTAACATCAGAAATAACCGAGGTTTTCAGATCTCCCAATGTTTTGTTCTCCACAGTCTCCACAAGTCACCAAAATCTTCCCCCCAAAATCCACCCACTGTCTCACAGTGTCTCCCAGTGTCACCCAGTGTCACCCAGTGTCTCCCAGTGTCACCCAGTGTCTCCCAATGTCACCCAGTGTATCTCAGTGTCTCCCAGTGTCACCCATTGTCTCCCAATGTCACCCAGTGTCACCCAGTGTCTCCCAATGTCACCCACTGTCTCCTAGTGTCACCCAGTGTCACCCAGTGTCACCCAGTGTCTCCCAGTGTCACCCATTGTCTCCCAGTGTCTCGCACAGTTGTCCCAGTGTCTCCCAATGTCACCCAGTGTATCTCAGTGTCTCCCAGTGTCTCCCAGTGTATCTCATTGTCTCCCACTGTCTCCCAGTGTCACCCATTGTCTCCCAATGTCACCCACTGTCTCCCAGTGTCTCCCAATGTCCCCCAATGTCACCCATTGTCTCCCAGTGTCACCCAGTGTCACCCAGTGTCTCCCAATGTCACCCACTGTCTCCTAGTGTCACCCAGTGTCTCCCAATGACACCCAGTGTCTCCCAGTGTCACCCATTGTCTCCCAGTGTCTCGCACAGTTGTCCCCGTGTCTCCCCCGTACCCGCTGTCCCAGTGCAAGTTGAACGTCTGCCCCGAGTCTCTCTGCATCTCCCGGCGTCGCTCGCACGCGCTCTGCAACAACAACAGCAACAATAAACTCAGCAACGAAATCCAATAACCAACAACAATCGCAACTCTCCGTTAGACAAATTAATATTCGAATCGCGATGATTGCATTGAACCATCGCGAGGCTCCGCGAATTGTTACTCCGCATCAAAGTATGTACTCTATCGATTAATCGATACGATGTGCCTTGATTAATCGACACGGTGCCGTGGGTGTGAATCGATTAGTGGATGCCACGTGGATGGTGAGATCGCTCATTCAGCCGTTGTGCCTTCAGCCAATTTCCCCTGCACGTTGTTTGACAAAACTAAAATGCGAAGTTCAATGTTGACAATTCCCTGTCAAGGACAAAGCCCACGCATTTAAAATGATACCAGAGACGTTCTGCATCGTCGCTGCATCATCATCATCATCGGCAGCAGCAGCAGCAGCACCAACAATAGCCGTGATCTATCGACTGCTGGACGAAGACACCCCCCACCCAAGGCGTCACCAAACTGTCGCACGCTCAAATTTCATCGCTCGATCTCCTGCTGATGACGGATCAACACCCCCCCCCCCCACTTCTGCCAGCGAGTTTCCCTTCTTTGACACGTTTGGCTATGTACGGTGCGAAAGAAGTTCAACGTACGTAACCATTATTTTTCACCGCATCATTTTTCGGTTCACCAACAAATTGTGACCGTAATATTAAGTGCTGTAGTGCGAAAACCGTGTTGTTTTTTTTTAATACGGCATATTACTGGCAAGCCAGCTGGCAGTATTTGTATTTCTCCGTAAAATCATCAACAGTGTGTGCGCGCGTGTGTGTGTTTGTACGGTGCACTGATGTAGCATTGTTATGACGATGTTGTCTCTGGCTTGCCTGTGCTCTCAAATCCGTGCGCTCCGCTCACATCTTCCTTGCTCCTTTGAGCACCTTTTTACCGAGCTTCTGTGCTCCATCGCCACCGCGTATAAACCCACGTCTCATATCAGGCGACGATGACGATGATGTATACCCATGAAAAGCCGCGCACTGTTTGCGAACGCTCGCACCGTTCCACGCATATAGGGATTGCAACGATTCTTAGACACAAACCGCACGTGTATCATACTCAGGGTATGGTATATGCAACGATTCACCAATTGGTTGAAATAAATTATCGTTCTCAGGATACTACACGGGACACACGCCCGACGGACTGGAATGTATTTAAGTGACCCACTGACAACCCCAAGAGGACCTAACACACACCACGGTAACGTTTCAGCCAAAATAATCGATTATAATCGATTATTTTTGCTGAAACGATTACAATCGATCATTTTTGGTGAAACGTTAAACGGGGACAATTCATCTAAAAGGCACCCGTGGACATTTCTATACCCTGCACAAAGACAAAGGTCCCCCTGCAGCACTCAACCGTCTGTAGAGGCAAGTGCAGCTATAAAGGCGTGGGCTGCTGCACCAGGCAGAATACTCACTTAAGGCTGAGTGGACCTAGGGGAGGCCCAGGACCTGTTAAAATATTCGCCACTGTTATTGGTCGTGAACGGGAATCGAACTCGTGCCGCTGGGTCCGTAGCGCAGCGCGCTGTCCACGACACCACGATTCCCCCACAGATAGCCCAATCGACACACAAAGACAAAGACCCCCCCCCCTCCCCGTGTAGCCTTCACAGACTGTAGGGGCAAGTGCTGTTGGCGAGCACCTATGAAGGACGGCATGGCACACGAGGGGGGGGGGGGGTGTCCAGCACCACGCCCGGCCGCCTTTGTCTCCCCAATGGCGATGTTTACACACCGCACCAGGTTATTCATTTGAGGCTGAGTCGACCCAGGAGGGAGGGGTCCAGGACCGATTTAGAAAATCGTCACTTGGTGTTGGTGACCGTGAGCAGGAATCGAACTCGGGTCACCAGGTTCGTAGCGCAGAGAGCTAACCGCCTCAGCTCACCACACACGCACCTATGGACACGTTCGCACATATATAGACACATGAGGGTTTGGATACTTTTCCAATCCCCATTGCTCTTAGCTGGTTTCAATATCATCACCTGCTCAACGATAATCATTTATTGCTAAAGACTTTAGCGGCCTCCACAATGGAATTACCTCAATGATGATAACTAGTTCCTGTCTTTGGGTTTTACCTTCACTGTGAACTAAACTGACACCAATTATTGGCTACTGATGCCTCTATAGGCAGTGTGAGAGAGCACTGTGATTGGCTACTGGTGCTTCTATCGATCGTGAGAGAGCACTGTGATTGGCTGCTGATTCCTCTCCATGCAGTGTGAGAGAGCACTGTGATTGGCTACTGGTGCTTCTATCGATCGTGTGAGAGAGCACTGTGATTGGCTGCTGATTCCTCTACAGGCAGTGTGAGAGAGCACTGTGATTGGCTACTGTTGCCACTACAGATAGTGTGTGAGAGCACTAATAATGAAAATAATATAAATAATAAAACATTATCCACAACGCATTGTCAATCCACTGCTGGATGAAGATCAATCCACGCGGTGTTATTCACGAGAATGGTTTAACCATACTTCACCGAGCTGGTCAGTGTGGGTTTGACCGGTCAGTACTATTTCGGGTATCAATCACCACTTATGTTAGCCGAGGCCTGAAATCGAACGTAGGTAATCGGGTTTGTAGTGCACGCACATCCACAAAAACAAGGTTCACCCGTATAGTCTTTAACAGGTTGTAGGGGCAAGTGATGTTAGCGAGCACCTTTGAACACAAAGACAAAGATCTCCCGAATAGCCTTCAACGGACTGTTGAACACTCCCACAGACAAATAAAGACAAAGATCTCCCATATAGCCTTGACAGACTGTTGGGGCAAGTGCTGTTAGCGACCTATGAAGGCCGGAACGGATTACGAAGAGGCGGGTGGCCAACCCCACGCCCGGCCGCCTTTGTCTCCCCAGTGGCGATGTTTACACACCGCTCCAGGTAGTCATTTGAGACTGAGTCGACCACAGACAAACACCCACACAACCGTATACCCAAACCACGCAACACCCACTCACCACCCACACACCACCCACACGCGTGCGGGCGTGGTGGATGGGCCCCGTGTTGTCGTCCCCCGTCGCTATTTTTAGCTCGGCAGAAGCGAAGGGGACGCGCGCAGGACACGTGGGCAACGTCGAGTTGGGTAGGGAGGGGGAGAGAGGGAGGGAGGAGGAAATAGGTAGGGGGGGAGGAAGAGGGGAGGGAGACGGGAGGGAGGGAGGGAGACGGGAGGGAGGGAGGGGAGGGGGGAGGGAGGGGAGGGGGGAGGGAGGGAGGGAGGGGAGGGGAGGGGGGAGGGAGGGGGGGAGGGAGGGGGGGGGGAGGGGGAGAGAGGGGGGGAGGGGGGAGAGAGGGGGGGAGGGGGGGGAGGGAGGGGGAGAGAGGGGAGGTAGGGGGAGAGAGGGGAGGTAGAGGGGAGGGAGGGGGGAGAGGGGAGGGGGAGGGAGGGGGGGAGAGAGTGGGGGGGAGAGGGGAGTAGAGAGGGGGGGGGGGGGAGACGGGAAGGAGAGGGGAGGGTAGGGTGAGGTAAGAGAATGGAGAGGGCAGGGGAGCACCAGGGGAGTGGAGAGGGAGGAAGAGAGAGGATGGGGGGTGGGGGTTGAATTTGATTGGAGCTCGAGGCTGGAATATCCACCCCTTAACTGCCATTAAATCTTGGTTCTTTCGGTAAAATCACGTAGAATGGAAATAAAATAATAATAAAATTTAAACATAAAATAAAATTCTCACGACGTTTCGGCCACAACACAAGTAGCCTTCCTCAGGTGAAGAAACAGAACTGTCGGGAAGACAGCGCTTCAGTGAACACTGCCAAGCTTGGCAGCGTCTTTTAAGCTGGGTGGGAGGAGCAGAGCGCCTTTACGAAGGAGTTTACATATCAACAGACAGATTTAGCATTGAAATAGCTGTGTTAATGTGTTGGATTAGCAGGATGTTAAAGTCAGAAATTAGCAAATGCCATTAAATCCGCCACGTGGCAGGCAGGTGTGTACGTGTCGCTCTAGTTTACCTGCGCGTGTGGGGGGGGGGGTCTATATGGGGAGCGGTGGTGCAGTGGTTAGCGCCACACGAGTTCGATTCCCACTCACGGCCACCAACAAACGAGTGACCGGTATCTGAACCGGTCTTGGGCCTCCGCGAGGTCGACTCATCCGCAAATGAGTACCTATTGCGGTGTGTACTAAAAGATCGCGGCTGGGGTAGACAAAGGCGGTCGGGCGTGGTATTGGTCACGTCCACCCCTCGTGTGCCGTGATGGCCTTCATAGGTGCCCGCTAAAAGCACTTGCCCTAACAGTCTGTTCAAGGCTATACAAGGGGATCTTTGCCCGACCCGAAAGGTGTTGGAAGCTAAGCAGACTTTGAGCCTGGGCCAGTTGTGTGACCACCATGCATAACAGATGCCATAGGCGGCTGCGAAGAAGCCACGTGGCGGGCATTGGTAAGAGGCAGTGCAGCCGACTCAATTATTGCACCGTCCTTTCTATGGACCCCTCCTCCCCCCCCCCCCCCCCCCCGCACTGACCAGCGTGGTTGAGGTATGCAAACGCGTTTAAGTCGAACGTGTCAAAGCGTTTTTTTCTCGCTCAAACAAGAATTCGTGGAAATTCCACGTTCGTATGGCGAGCCTGAGCCAGCGCAACCATTGTTGATTTGTCACAAAGTGGCACCAATGTTATCGACTGTGGCGAAAGGCAGGGTGCAAATTGTAATAAAAAATGCGCGATAATTAATTAATTCAACTGATTGCATTTTTTTTTCGCGCGTGGTAATGCACACAGTATGTAATTTATTGACAGTATAGAATATGTTATGCTGAACGGAAGAAAAAACATATACACATAATATCCCCCGATGCTGCTGCGTTGGCAGCGGTGCACAAGCAGAGTCAACAACAATTTGTGGCCTTAAAATAATAAAATATATAGAGGTCGATGTTTCGCGCAATGGTCCTTCTTCATGGCACATATAAGTGGAGAAGCCAGTAAAGAGACACA